TGGTGCATGGATGGGGAAAAAATAAAAATGAAACACTGTTTGCATTTACTCTGTTAGATTTTGGAGGAAAACAAATATACTTATTTCTTCTCAATTTGACTGCAGTAGAATTTTCCAGAGTGCCATTCACTGTAATGTGTCAGTGCTTCACAAGTAAATTAAATCTTCATGATCTTGAGGACTTCAAGGAGTTTTCTGCTTTCTCTTTTATTCCCCCTCCCCCCCCATTAAAGAATGCACTGGCTGAGAGGCCTGAGAATGTCATCTGCGGAGGGAAGTAGAGCACTTTTCAAGTATCAGTGGTCAAAGATTAAAAAGACAAAACACAAGCTAACATACAGGAATTATTCAACTAAACCCCCCACTCTCTTTATACCACTTGATCTGTGTAATCAGTATGCCAAAAATGGTTTAAATCTTTCCCTCTGAAAAAGAAAAAAGTGATCAGAGATTCCAGTCTCAAAAAGGAGATTGTCAATCCAGCACTGACTTGTAAATACGTTAACACATGATAAGCAGGGTTGGAAGGTACATCGGTTATTTAGAACCAGCGTGAACAACAGATACACAGTCTGTAATGCTAATTGACATAGCCTAGTGCTCTACTGATGTACTTTATGGTTTTGCATAAACACCTCTCCTTTGTTTCAGACAGGAATATGAATATTTTGCAGTACTGCCCCATCTCTGACTCCTGGACCAACTTTGAACTGTGTGATATCCACATTCGCAAACAGCAGATGCTCTCTGTTGAGGAAACGATCTACCTGGTAGGAGGGTGTATTCATGAACTGGGACCTAACCACAAATCTAGCCCAAGTGAGGACATGTTGACAGTGCAGTCTTACAACATTGCAACCAGAGAATGGCTCTACCTCAAGGAGAACACATCTAAATCAGGTCTCAACTTGACTTGTACTCTCCATAATGATGGGATCTATATATTGAGCAGGGATATTACATCATCTACAAGCTTGGAACACCGGATTTTTCTTAAGTATGATATATTTTCAGACAGGTGGGAGTCACTTAGACGCTTTCCAGCCTTTGGACAAAACATGTTGGTCTGCTCTGTATATTTGCCCAATATGACAGAACTGTAATTACACCTTTTTTTCCCCCTTTCATTTCATCAGTCATGTTTCCAAGTTTTTTGAAAAATTCAATTAAACCTACTTTTTGTTGTTGTCTTCAATTTAAATGATTCTAAGCAATGTATGCAATCCAATACAAAAGCACTGTGTTGGTACCTGATATATGTAAAGTAAAGTTGGTCAGTCTAGTTTTACAGCCCCATTTTAACGAAATTCAAAAACTAAATAAGCAGGATACATGGTAAAAAGGAAAACAGGTTTTCAAAATTATTTCTTTTTTAATAATCTAAGAGAATTATCAAAGGTAATATGGTTTTTAGTTTTGCAATGTCCTGTTAGATGAACAAAGGATGAGATGATTTGTACCTAAATATTTTTATCTTTTCTACAATTGTAGCATGAGGGAGATTTTCAAAGGCTTGTATGGCCTTTGGCATACACTGGGAATTCTTATGAAACACCCATGTAAGCACTGGGCATATTTGTACAAAGATTTAAAAGAACTCCCCTGAGTATTGGACAGGGGTTTTTTTTGTAAGTCGGTGACAGGCATTTAAAAAAAATGCAAGTAAAGGAGGTACTGAACTCAAAATAGGGATAGTCTGCTCAGTGGGAAAAGTGATTTCAAATTTACTATTGATTTGTTCATTTAGCTTTTCCAAATACTCAGTGGTTCAGACTAATATGTAAAAACAAAGGAACAAATTGTGGAGGTGAGTTACATGGCAGTAGAATACACGTGAGTCCCAGAAGGCAAAGTAGGCTGTCTCCCTCCTGGGGTTGGTCAGTCCTGGGTGTAAAGGAATATGGCACAGCTCAGAGGTGTGGAGATGAGAGGTGAACACATGTAAATAAGCTGCCACCTGACCAGCTCTAGGTGAATCCTGTTCCTTTCCCTTCCCATCAGATGGTTTTAGATGGGTTTCTCTAGCTGTGGTCTATGGTAATTCCCTTTCTGTCCCATAGGGAAGGGGTGGCAAAGATCAGACCTGGACTTATGATTTTCACACATGCTAATTTGGAAAGAATGACTTATGGGGAGGAGGGTTCCCTTCCTTTCCTGCAAAGCCTTCTCCAAGTCCCTGGGGGTATCTTTAGTCCAAATGGACCCTTTTCTCTCACTAGTTATCAAATTCTGAAGGGCTCTTCACCCTATCTGCTTGGGTGATGTCCTCAGCTCCCCACTAGGCAAAGGGGAGAGACTGGAAAGAGATGAATGTCTTACACATGACAGTCTCTTGCCTTAGGGGAGACTAAGCCTCCATTAGGATCCAACAAGGTAGCTGCAGAGCCCGTACCACAGCTTTTCACAGATGCTGCTGGTTCCAGAAGTGGGCCACTTTTCTGTGTGCATTAACGGGGAGATTGAATTCTCTGGGCCACTTTTCTGTGTGCATTAACGGGGAGATAGAGAATTCAATCATACCCCTTGCAGCAGCAGTTCAGTCAACATAAAAGCCTCTTTTTTTTTTTTTTTTTTTTTTTTTTGGGGGGTGGAGAGAATATATGCCTGCCCACAAAATGAACTGCTGGTGCAAGTTTGTTTACAGCAATCAGGAGGCATAATCACTAAGGGTAGGACCTGCAGTCCAGCTGGATGCAGAAGTATGAGTGGCCATAGTTCTGAAAAAAATTTTGCATGTGTGTGGCAGCTGCCTCTGTTTTACCAACACAAGCAGGCTAAGCAATCCCATCTACTCCCTGACCTGAGCAGAAATAAGGTGAGTGGAATGGAATAGTTTAATAAACCCCCTGGTTTTTATTTTCAAAACCTGTAGTTTCAGTGCCTTAGCCTTGAGCAGGAGGTCATTACTCCATGACAGCTTTCCCTTAGAGAAATTTATTTGATGATTTGTTTTCCTTCAGTTCTCTGAAGAACTAGATTTTTTTTTCTGTCGTCTCCCAAAGGCATCCAAGATCACAATCAGAACAATATACATCTGAGATCTCTTCACAATGGAGTCAGTCGGTCTGCATTCTGTTGCTCAGTGACTTATGTGCTGAATTGTTTGTGAAGAGCTATCACTTCCAGATTCACCTCCTGCTGAGAGTAATATCTCTGAATGACAATTTTCAAATCTGGTGTCCATTAATCCAATGGCTTTCAATTCAGGCTGGGGTTTTAAGAGCTTTGTTTTGTTTCTTGGGAGTGATAGTTCCTTTCATGGTGGCCTCCTGCTACATTGGGTTAATGTACACAATCAACGTTATGATTCTTTTACACCAAATGAAGAAAATCTCTCTCTGCAGGGCCTCCTTTCAGCGCTCTGTGGTCAGATGATTATTTTCAAGGTCTGGTGAGTTAGATGGAAATGGTAGCTGAGACTGTAGAAAACTGATGCACATTGGGGACTATTCAGACATTGGCATCTCTACTTTGAATACATTTGCACTGGCAAAGGCTGTGATACATAAATAATTCTCATCAAATGAAATGGCTGGGCACTACTGTGATAATGCTATGTGGGACTGTATTGAGCAAGGCTGAAATAACTGTTGCACAAATCTTTTTCTTTTTTTTCCAAGGAGGAACCTGTGGTGTGTGGCCCTCTACACCTCAGAGAAGAAATCCTAATGACTGTCCCATTCCAGGCTCATTTTCTTTCCATTGCTTTAATATTCCACACATGGCATCATTTAGCAGCTACTGCCCTTCTAGGAAAGGAAGACTGGCAGAGGGGTCTTTTCAGAGCTCATCAACAAACTATTTAGTCAGCCAATGGAAATGCTGTTGAGTGATGCAAGACATTCTGTTACCTCCCTTGGAGGGTAAAATGGCCTTAATTTAGGGGGCAATTAAACTTCCATTGAGTGGCAGCTATATAAATATACTAAAATGAGAGGCCATGTGGTCTACTTAATTGAGTACAGGACTGGGAATTCCTGAGTCTTAATCCCAGCTCTGCCTCTCACTTACCGTGTGGCCTTGGACAGGTCACCTAGCTCCTTTGTGTCTGTTTTTCCCCCAACTGCAGACTGTGGATAGTAATATCTACTCCACAGGGGTATTGCAGTTAAATTCATTAATATTTGTCGAACATTTTGAACATTTAAAAAACTACATACATGCTTAGCATTGTTACTATTTATTCCACTATTGAAATTGCTTTAGGGGAGGTTTTAGGACAGATGGCAGCTAGGAATCCCACCTTGCTCCCTATTAGTTATCTTTAAGAAATGTTTACATCTTCTCTGTATTTCTTAACAGATTTGTCTTCCCATTTGTCAGCTTTTCTTTTGTTTACATGTTTTTTTCTTTTCGTCACATAGTTAGCTATCGCTTATCATAGTTCTCCTGTCCCCACCTGCCTTTTCAGCTTTAGCCATCCAGCCTTGGTATCTGTTCTTGCATTTCATGTCTAGTCTATTCAGCATTGTGCCCCCAGGCATCAAGATTTCATATTCCCTCACGAGCATGGCACTTGCCCCTTGGGTCAGAACTACTAGATAGTAAAAGCTGGCATAAGTAAAAACGGACTATGCAATAGAGGACAATTCTAAGGGTTTGTAAAGATCACTGAGACTGAGTGAAAGAGAGACCATCATACCTGTAGTTTTTGCTTTTCCGGGTAAGGTCTGTTTTTTCAATGTGAAATAAGATTTGGATGATATTTAAACTTCATGTTATCCACATAATATCTGTGGCCAGTTTCCACAGAAATTTCCTCCATGCCCTGCCAGTTGGCCTTACATGTCTGTATAGTCTCTTTTGAAGTTTTTGACTTGCTACATCCATAATCCCGCCTGTTTTTACTAAAATTACATGATACCAGTTTGTCAGCCTTTACAACTTGACCATCTGCCTTTCAGACTGTGCTGTTCTTATCAATAACCAGGATGAAACAATGGAGCAGTATGTAGCTCCCATAGAGTATTTTTATTTCTCTAACGTTGGGCTCCTGGCAGAGAAAAGGGCCACATAACAAATGTTTCTTTTGTTGAATCCTCATTTTAGTGAAAAATCACATTACGATTATTCAGATGCTCTGAGAAAAGTGGCCTGTGCCACAGCTGCAAAAGAGAATGGAAGGCTATAGCGTGTAGTGACAACATGTAGCACTTGATAGTTTCAGATGCTTCACAAACAGTAATGAATCCTCCCTCCCTCTCCTGCATGCCATGTACACACAGCGGGTGATGTTATGATCTGAGGGCAACTTTTTAAGGGTAAAGACTGGTGTGGTTAGTTCATAAGCAGCTCTCAAGAATTCCTTTCTGGAGGCAGTAACCCTGAGTATTTGCAGTGGATTTTATTGATTTTGCACTTACAAGGATGACCAAAGGGTGGCTCTCAACACCCATAGTAAGTTTTAGAAACAAAACCAAAGCCTTAAAGTAGAGAGAGTTTAAACATTTCCCCCTGATATTCTAATTAATGCTGACATTCTGTACATACCGTATATTTTCTCTCTGATATTCTCGGCGCCTGTTTCAGTGCAACCTCTGTTTCTTTTCCAAAAAGTTGGGGGTGGGGGAGAATGTTGAAAAAGGAGCCTTGCCTTTGTGAGATTTGTTCTTTTGCTGCTTTTAAAATCAGTACCTTAATGTATATGGTGCTTGTGTCTTTTTTCCCTTGATGGCGTTGACATTACCAATAAACAAATAATAAGTATGCCATGAAAATTTCAGCATTTTTAATATTCTTTAATATTTTTACAGTAGCTAGAACTGTTATACACACACACAATTTTTTTGCTGTGAAATATCCCTGGTTTAAAAAAAAAGGCACAACTCAGCTGACACTACTGAGGCTCCTAAGTGCTCTCAAGTCCCATTTTGCTCACCAGTGGCAAAAAAAGACATTTGGCTCCTTAGATTTTCAGAGCTCACAGTCTTCTCCCAGGTTCACTAGTGTAAGGACATGTAAGCTTTTCTAACCCTATATTTTCCCCCTCCCCCTTTTTTTTTTTTGGTTTTAACTTGTGATCATCCACAAAAGATGAGAGAGTCTGCCCAGTTTTTATGATGTGTTAAAAACTTGGTACTTTGCCTAGAGATGACAAATGTACTGTAATAAAGTAATATTTTTCAATTAATAAAATGGACCCTTCACTTCTCCTGGTGCTAGAATGTGAATATAGGCCAAATAGTCATTCTGGGTCCAGTTATCCACTGTTGTGTATGCACACGTGTACGCGCATACGTGCGCGCACACACACATACACTACAGTAGATGGAAAAAGACGTATCTCCTCCACTGTTGTGTATGCACACGTGTACGCGCATACGCGTGCGCACACACACATACATCTTTTTCCATCTACTGTAGTGTATCTCCCGCCCTCCTGAAAGTTACACTGACTAATTGTGGTCTTCTCGTTTAGAATAACAGACCTTGTACGTAGCCAACACAAAACTGGAGGAGTAGGCTCTCTTATTGTAATGTAATTTCCCTCTTCCTTACCCTCTGTAGCCAAAATGTCTCACTTAAACTGCACGCCAGTGCTCAAAGCTGGCTTATTTTCTGTCCTCAGTTTCCAAATCATTGCCAGGGTCAGATTTCTGATGCAGGATTCATCCAACTGTGGACCCACAACTGCCTGCCCCCCTTTTGTACAGTATGTATTTGATGATTGTCAATTCTCCCTGCTGAAGCTGATCTGTGCACTCTCTCTCTTCTGCAAGCTCTTTGTAAAGAACTAGACATATTAGGGAATACTGATAGGTGCACTATAGTTAAAATTGAAATTAGCTTCCCATTCACATTTCCTCTTCCTTTCCTCCTGCCATTTGCTACCCCTAATAATTTCTCCAAAAATTAACCAATACACTATAACTCTGTGTATTGTGTCTGATCCCCAGATAGTGAGTTGAGGAATTGGGTAAAATTAAGAGAAAAGTTTAATTTTTTCCTGTTCACTTTTATACAAACTTTCCTAATTTTTTTGACTAGGAACATTGTTTTGTTCCTCTACAACTTTTTGATCCAGCACGAAGAGCAAGAAGTCTTGTGCAAGAAAATGTCCACACTGCCATGTGTGTGCTGTGCTTCTGTGCAAGAGCGCCCATGGCAGTGTGGACGCTCTCTTGTGCAAGAAAGCTCCGATGGCCATGTTAGCCATAGCCATAGAAATCCTTGCTGAGTGTCCACATTGCCCTCTTGCGCAAGAGTTCCTGCGCAATAGGGCTTACACCTGTTAAAAAAGAGTGTAGCTCTTGCACAAGAAGACCTCTTTTACCACACTGTACAGTAAATTTCCTTGCACAAGAGCAGGTGGGCAGTGTGGACGCACTGCAGATTCTTGTGCAAGAACAATCATACTTGCGCAAGAAACCGCGAGTGTAGACATAGCCTTGGTGTTTTGAAGGAGTGGAAATTTTAGTGGCAGGGACTAGTAAAATATAAAGAGTGGCATTACTTAATATGCCT